AAAGGCTGACAAATATAGCCAGAAATGTACGAACAGGAGAAGATAACAATAATGAATAGGACCTCCTAATTAAGTGCATGTGTGCACCAAAAACCTTTACAAATAACGTGGGGAAAAAAAACCCCTACTGACTGGGGGGAAATATTTGGCTACAAAATACTACAAGACCTCCAGATTAAAAAAGACTGATAACCTAATCATAAAATAGGCAAAATATATGCAAAGACTTTTCAAAGAGGAAGATATCCCGATGGCCAACAGAGACATGAAAAAAATGCTCAAAATAACTGCCAATAAGAGAGATGGAGATCAAAGTCGCAATGAGATATCATCTCACTCCAGTAGCAGTGGCAAAGTTTAACAGGACACCAAGTAATAAATGTTGTGGAGGGACAGAAAAATGGGTGTGGAGGGATAGAAACTCTCATGCACTGTTGGTGGGACTGTAAAATGGTATAACCATTCTAGAAGGCAGTTTGGTGTTTCCTCAAAAAGCTGAGAATAGAAATTCCTTATGATCCAGGAATTCCACTGCTATGAATATAACCCAAGGAAAATAGAGCTAAGACACAAATGGTGATTTATACACCACTCTTCATAACAGCATTATTCACCATTGCAAGAACACGGGAACAACCCAAATGTCCAACCACAAATGAATGAATTAAGAAATTATGCTACATTTACATGATGGAATACTATGTAGCACTCAGGAGAACTATTTTGAAGAATACTATATGACATGGGAGAAACTAGAGAGTGAACTAACTTAGTCTTATAAGAACAAATAGTGCATAAGACCATTACTGTAAAAAAAATAGAAGGATAACTAGTAAGACGTGTACAAAAGTCCAAAGAAGGAAGGGAAGGAAGGCCAGGTTAGGGTTAGAAGATGAAGTGGAGTGTTGGAAATCACGAGATCACAGAGTTTGATGGACAGAGGGAGGGGATGAAGAAATTAAGAAATATCCAGGGAGGGACCTGAAAAGACGGAGTAATGATGAGCATGCACCAAGAGTGATTAATTTTATAAAACACAATGTATGAGAATGATCATATGAAACACAACGTGAATAAAGAATGTGAATTTCATGTACAAACCAATATAAAAGAAAAAGAATTTAAAAACATTTAAACATCTTTGCTACCATGTGTAGTCTTGACAATTGCGTGCCTTGCGTCAGAGAGCGGGACAGTGGTGACTAGGGATTATAGAAAGAGAATTGAAGCGTTTGAACTGTAGCACTGGAGAAGAGTGCTGAATATATACAATGGACTGCTAAGAGAACAAACAGGTTTGTTCTGGAGAGGATGAAACCGCTCTGTTCCTTGGAGGCAAAGATTCTGAAGCTTTGTCTGGCATACTTAGGGCATGTTGCTAGGAGGCACCAGTCCTTGGAGAGGAAAATCATATTTGGGAGGGTTTAGGGCTCTTGTACATAGGATTGCTATGAGTTGCACATGACTCAACAGCACATAACAACAACAACAACAACAACCATATAATAAGCTGATTTAATCCTCTCCAGGACAGATCTACTTATTTTCTTGGTAGTGGGAGGATGTCAAAGATATCATTCAGGAAGAGTGTAAACGGTCATTACAAAGACAGAAGAGGAAGAAAAGACCAAAATGG